GCATAGTGCAAATTTGCATGAAAATGTTTGGCAGAGTGATAGTGGTATTGCAGAATTTTGTTCTATTGAGAAAAAATTTCTCTTTTCAGAATTCCCAACATCTCGATTGGAGATGAACAAAGTCGCTGATCTCTTTGATAAGGGTGATGGTTTGATCAATTCCAAGGAATTCATTGATGCTCTTCGATTCGATAGATCGGTAGGTGCAGTTTGACGTTTGAACTCAGCGCTTGAGTTCTGCTTATCACTTGCATCATAGCACGCACAATCCATTAGGCCTATGCCATATCTGCAAAAATTTTTGCGAAAAGGATTGTTTCCGGGTTAGTCTCTGGGTTGCGCCTAATACCACGCCATCCTCATAGAGGATGGCAAAAAACAATCTGGATTTTTCAAGTTCTGATCAAATGAATTAAACAAGCACACTCAACTAATAAAAAAGAATCTATGCGGCAATCAGAGGCAGAAGCTCGCACGTTTAATGTTAGATTCTGCGCACATTAGCCGCCAGATCTGTGGACTATAAATTTTTTGGTGATTTTAGAATCACTGGTCATAATCAGTTGTGTGGAAGTACCGTGCAAGCAATTAGATCTTTTTCAGAGAGAACTCAAGCCACCGAATGAACACGAAAAAGTGAATGAGGAGATAACCAAGCAGAAGAACGCTTGCAGCTGCTGCCAACAATTCAAAATTGAGAAAGTTGCTGAAGGACATTATCGTGTACGTACCATGAATGCATCATATCCATCACAACTCTTTCATCTGCTTTTTTATCACAGTTTGGAGATACCCAAATCAAACGTATGGTACGGATTCTACGGTCGACTGTAATGGTTCGCGTCGGTGGTGGATGGGAGGCTTTGGACGAGTTTCTCTCGAAACATGACCCTTGTAGAGCAAAAGGTATGGCGTAGTGCATATAAAGTATGGTAGTAATTCGTGATATTTCTAGGCCGACTCAATATTGATATGTTCTATAAAGACGTATCTCCCAGTACCGCAATTGACACTATGCGTGCATTCACGAAAGGTCGTCGAAGAACCACCAGCAATAATGTACGCAGAATTCGCTCTCTGTCTTCTAGCCTTCTTATCCCACTTTCCTCTCTTTTATAAATGTTCT